GTGCGTTGAAGTTGCGCACGACGTCACAACGTGCGGCATTATTAAGCAAGCGTTGACGTCACGGGCCTCTTCTTATGAACTTTGGGGCGCTTTATCTCTTTAAATTTTCATTAGTTTGAAAAAGTGAAAAATACGTGTAGAGTATTTTTTGATAAGTTAACTGACGGACTAATTAAAACTCTTGTTTTTTGACCCAGGCAACATCCCCATTTGCACAAAATTGGCAATAGGTGGCATAATAATGGTTACTTTTTTAGCGCCTAGTTTGAAATGTGATTGAACGATGACAACTAACAACAGTTGTCAGTTAGGTAAAATTTTATTTTAGTTGGAATAAGACAAAAAGTGGTAAATGGGTTAACGTGCGGGGGCTGCAAAATCATGTTGTGACGTCACGCGCGAATATTGGAAATTTTTGAAAATTTTAAAATGTCCGTAAACTTCTCGAGGCTCTATCTTCGGTAATACTGGACGGATTGAGGTGAAATAAAAACTAGTGTAATGTGTGTGATCTAAACTTTAAATTAAGTCATAATTTAACTTAATATTACAACTTATGCGTGTTGTCCATTACGCGCGAGCAATAGGATGGGTAGCTTGGGGTCATTGGACAAAATTCTACGTGCTCCCGGACCAGACTATAGTTACTAGCTAGTAAATTAAACATTCTTAGCTATTATAGTCGCTTCTCAAACTAAATTTTACGCGGCCATACCAGCGTATTACACGCCTTAGGCAGTACGATTTTTTCAAGTTGTTTATCTAAGAGTAGGCGCACACCGTTGATTTTTCGTCGGCCGATAGTTTAGTCGGGCAGTTGATCAGTATGGGAGTGCGCACACTACGCCGATACGATTTGGCCGATTCTTCATACAATTTAAAATCGGGTACAACTATCTGCTAACTAAAAATCAACGGTGTGCGCCTACTCTAAATTTACGAGCTTGTAAATGGTGGGCAAATACATCTAGTAAGCTACATTTCTATTTATATGCTCTCCCATTTTTAATTTAGTAATTAATTATTTCTGGTTGTCAGAAAAAGATCGCTTTCTAGCGATAGGACCGCCTAATTTGTGCAATTTGTTTCGAATTATCGGTTTTGTGTCTGTCTTTTCTACCTCTAGTGTTCAATAAAGTGTGCCTATTCTATCGCTATTTCACCACAATCTATGTAATGCTGTATTTGCAACTAAAGCCTGGTCTGTGAGCACGTAGAATTTTGTCCAATGACCCCAAGCTACCCATCCTTATCGCTCGCGCGTAATTATATTGCTGTCGCGACTGTGCGACGGGCGCCCGCAGTGAGTGTGCGAGTGCGACAGCAACATAATCACGCGCGAGCGATAAGGATGGGTAGCTTGGGATCATTGGACAAAATTCTACGTGCTCACGGTCCAGACTATACACAGTAGTAACTGGTAGATATCTTAACGAACGAACGAACAACAAACCTACAGGGTCAACCCAAAACTCCGTTACAAGAGTGGTGTTGTCAGCAGCATTCATTAAATCCTGCGTGCAGTTGCTCAATCTATTATTGATATGCTTAAGATAAATCATACTTATCAGATTCTAATGAGGGCTATCGTTTTTATACTTAACAGTTGGCACCCCTGGCGATTGACAGGACCTTACTCTACAGTGGCGCCATCTTGATGAGTGCAAATGCGATAGTCCTCCTACCACTTTAGCGCTCACCAGTTGGTGCCACTGTCTTCGCTACTAGCAAGTGACAGGACCTTACTCTACAGTGGCGCTAACTGGTGAGCGCTAAAACGATAGCCCTCATTCCATCTCTTATCTCATACTTACCATCAAGTCAGCCAAATGACGTCCACTGCTGGAAAAAGGCCTCCCCCAAGGTTTTCCACAATGAACGGTCCTGCGCTGCCCGCATCCAGGCTCTTCCCGCGACCTTTACCAGATCGTCGGTCCACCTAGTAGGAGGCCTGCCCACGCTACGTCTTCCAGCCCGTGGTCGCCACTCGAGAACTTTCCTGCCCCAACGGCCATCGTCTCTACGAGCTATGTGCCCCGCCCACTGCCACTTGATTTTAGCAATTCTGCGAGCTATGTCGGTTACTTTGGTTCTCCTGCGGATCTCCTCATTTCTGATTCGATCACGCAGGGAAACTCCGAGCATAGCCCGCTCCATCGCCCTTTGGGTGACCTTGAGAGCCCCATACTTACCATATTCCATTTATATTCCAGTTCGAACAAACCCTGCTAGTGACCGAGACGGGCGTGGACATACTGACGAAGCGCGGCAGCGGGCGGCCGTGGTTCCAGGACCAGCTCGACAAGCTCGCCGCCTGCTAGGCCCCGGCCTTACCCCGCTGAGGTGACGTCACTTTCTATCCCCCACGAAAACAGCCAGTAGTCTTGGGTATTAGTGTGACCTTATCGCCCGTATTCACAAAAATAACTATGAGGTCTCACAGTGCGCGTGAACGCACTGGGTCACACACGAAACAAATCACAGAGCTCTCTCTATTCAACGCTGTACGTTCGATTTGCTGCTTCACTTAAACAATGGTTAAAGTGAATACGGGCGTTGGAGACATGTGAGCTAAATAGCACCACCAATGGATTTGGTTTTGATCATCATTTCAGCCACAGGACGAACCTGTAATGGCCTCTCACTATAGGCCTCAAAGAAGCTCAAAGTTGCACAGCGTACTATGGAAAAGGTTATGCTAGGTGTTTCTTTATGAGATCGAATCAGAATGGAGATCCGTAAACGTAAAAGTCGCTGACATAACCCGGCGAATTGGCAAGCGGTTTTTGTTTTAATCTATATAATATATAAAAGAAAGTCGTGTTAGTTACACCACTTATAACTCAAGAACGGCTGAACCGATTTAGCTGAAAATTGTCAGGGAAGTAGTTTAGAGCCAGGAGAAGGACATAGGATACATTTTATCCCGTTCGAAATAAAAAAAAAGTCTGCTTATTTATTGCCATTAAGGCGGAACAAAGTTCGCCGGGCCAGCTAGTGACTTCTAAAATAGGCTAGTTTACAAGTATTCTTTAAATTGATGCAGTAGTTCAGACACTTTGATTAAGGCCGATTAACTAACGGAAAAAAAGAATAGAAGAACAAGGACAGACAACAAAATGAACCCTTATAGGAGGTGTTCAGATTTTTCTTATTGAGGAGATAAGTAGGAGGTCCTCCCACAAGGTGGATCGACGACTTCGTAAAGGTAGCAAGAAGGCGCTGCATGCAGGCCGCTACCAACCGGGCGATGTGGAAATCACTGGAAGCTATGTTCAGCAATGGACTTCCTGTGGCTGAAATGATGAGGAGATAAGTCAAACTCCATTGATGGAAGAATTTAAAAATATACTATTAAGCTCCTGTCAGCGTCTTAAGGGCACATTTATGTAACACCAGATAACTTTTACCAAAGTTGACAATACCCCAGTTTTATTCAGGTAAAAGTTACATAACTGGTTATTGTAAAATTGGACGTGAATGAATAAAGTATAGAATAACCACGATAGGGGTTACTGACATTGCCAAAAATACTAATGCCCGTTTTCACCACCAATCCCTACAAATTTTTAAGTGGCCCCTATGAAAACAAAATTTCTGTTATATTATGTTACCATATGGGTCACTTTAAGTCTGGGTTGCACCACCCAACTTTGACCGTAAATTTGACGATAACCGGTGCTTTTTGTATGGATTTTGACAGCTTTTTGACGTTTATCAAAGTTAAAGTAAGATGGTGCAACCCAGCCTTAAAAATTAGAGATTGATGATGAAAACGGGCATAATGTAACAATTTGCTAGAATTAATTCCTGTTTCATTATGAAAAGTAATTAAGATTGTAAAAATAGCAATAAATTAGTACTACATCACAGATTGTAAGACGACTGTGATATTTAAAGAATATATAAATAATTAAATATGATCAATTACTTTAAAGCCAAAGATCCTTGAGAAAGTAGACGACAGAAACCACCTCAGCGGTTTAACATAATAAATATAATTAAGTATTTGGTTAGTAATTTCCCTAAATCTTATAATGCTAGAAAATGGGTTTTCTACAGTTTTTCACTTTCACACGATATTTTGTATCTAAATCGGTTTACCGATTTAATATTGAACATGAAATATATTCCAGATAATATTTAAAGATTTTTTTCTGAACCTAAAGTGGCCTAACGGGCCTAGTGAACTAAATATAGAATTTATAAAGAAAGACGCACATAAAAACTGCTTGTTTTGATTCAATGTAAATTTTATAATATCTTTATAAACGGTAATTAGAATTTTACCGTAATTTATGTTTAGATCTGTCATCTTGTGTGGCACATCCTTAAAGTGGCAACACCACAGCAATAAAAGAAAATCCCAAAAATATATTGGTACTGGTATATGACTAACAATATCCTCCGCCCATGTAACATAAGCATTTATGTATGGACAATATGTTATATTTATGTTTCTATGTGTTTCACAAATCTAGTTTTAGTCCGATTTGTAAACTGTGACGACAACTTAGTCACTTTGAGTGTCTTAAATTATAAAAACAATTTTATAAACTGGCAACAAAAAATAAAAAATATTAAAAGTTATTTTGCTTTATTATTTAAACAATTAAAACAATTTGGCATTTTATCATAACAATAATACATTCTAAATGCATTAAATATTTCTTAAATAAGTGTTAACTACATTAAAATTAATAAGCACTATTTACATTGCAAAGTAATTGACAGAAATTGCACATAAACGTTATTATTATGAAGACATATTCATTAAAGTTTAGATTAGGGATGTATCAAAAATACCGATACCGATATTATGTTTACTACTATATCGACTGTATGATTGTGTATACTTATTTAATCAACGCAAATTTCGCACTATAGATATTCCATTATGTTTATCGCACTATCCTCGGGCCTATATCACTTTATGTAATCGAGCCCCTAATTATACATTTTTAATTTGAACTGAGTATTCTATGACATTCCAAAAAATAGGAAGTATTATCTGTTAGATTTTATCTCAATATCTTAAAATTTCGTTATCGGTATTGGTGACTTTGATACTATTATAAAACCGGTATCGCATAGAAGTGCGTACCTATTGCATCCATGATATAAATTAGTCAATAGTGTTTACATCACAAATTAATACATTAAATACATAAGTAAGTATATTTGAAAATTACTTAGGTCTGCACTGTCTCAATTACGATCATAATTGAGACAGTGTAATTATACAGACAGACATAATGTTAAAAGGTAGTTTTATGTGGATAAAATATCTTGAGAATAAATGCAGATTCCTTTTTCACAAATTCCTCATCCAGAAAAATGAGAACAAAATTGTCTTTGTAAGAAGTAACATATTATGCTATACATGTCCCGTACATATTTTCCAATTTAAAAGATAATCTACATGATGTACAACTGAGACAGTGTACCTAAGTTTTAAATAAAAAGGCACAGACTTATCATAAACATCACTCCACGAAACTTAAAACTACTCTTCATACTCCTCAAATAAAGGAATATAATCGTCGCTTCTCGATCTAAGCTTGAGTCCAAAATCAGTGACCTGGTTAGCATCATGTCCTTGGGTCTTGTCTGCTTTCCTCACCATAGCCGATGTCCAGTTTTCCACACCGTCTGGCTTTTTGACCACTATTTCTTTGACGTTCTTTATGTTGTTCAGTTTAGACGCTAATAGTTCTTTCTGTAATAGAATAAATAGTATTGTTTAAAGTCACATTTCTAAAAGTTTATATTAGTTATGAATAGGGTTAAAATATTCAAGACTGACGCACAACTGAAGTCAAAACCATGGAGCAAGACTAAAATGCCATAGTACTCAATCAGACGAGCCCCCTAGACAAGTTGCACTTTTTGATCGAATCGAAAGTCGAATCCGTCGTAACTCCATACAACAAAAGGCCTTTCGACCATTTTTCGACTGGTTTGCGATTATAATGTGCTCTTTTTCTAGACCCTCAGCTTATAACGTCGGAAATACGGAAAATACATCGCAAAAATTATAATATGTTTGGACTTACCGACTTACTTGGGTCGACATAACTTGCGTATATCCTCAGCACAGGCTCTCCAGTTTTATCGTCAAAAGTGAGTTTGCTTTTCGGAGGTATTTTCGCCTTTACCACCGTAATTTTGGGAGGCACTGACGTCGATGTGACTTGATCTTGTTTCTTTTCTGTCACCGCTATTATTCTTAATGGAGCTCTCCTTTGAATCAGAGTCGCCTTTTGTTTGTTGAAGTCTTGATCCTCGCTTATCGTTGCTTCTACTATTTGACCAGCATAAACGTTACCTTCTTTTGTCACTTGGGGCTCTTTATTGTTCGCTCTAAGAAGAGTGTAAGCTATGTTAACAGAATCGGCAGTCTTTGTAAATGGAACTCCGATATGAGGTTTCACCTCGGTGTGATTCTTAAAACCTTCAGGGGGTTGTACAAAATATGCCATGAGCTCTGGAGCGGCAGTAGTTGTAGTAGTGGTGGTCGCATTTTCTTGTTGTTCTTGAGGTTTCTCGACTTGAGCTAATGCAGCTGCTGCCCTCACGTCATTGATTGCCGAATAGAATCCATTTGCTATAATGTTTCCAATGCTTTGACCGACTTGCGCGTAGTAAATAGGAGTCACGTTTTGCTCCTGGGTGGTGCTTTCTATTATGTATTTAACTGTGGTCGTGCTTGGTTTTGATTCCGCCGTTACTAATTCAACTGTTACATTGTGAGGTTGGGATGCAGATGTCACTTCAACATGCTTTTCTGTAGTATTGTTTTGGGTGAAAGAGTGAGGGATGAGAGACATTACGGCACTCTCGTGAGTTTCTCTTTGCACGACGCTCTTTTGTGGTTCGAATGATGTTGGCGTTTGTTTTGTTATTTCCTCGTTTTCCAACAAGAAAAGGTTATTCTGTGGTTGTTGCTGGATATGAGATTGGTGGTGGAATTGCTGGATGTTATTTGAGGGGGTGTCAGCGGGATAAGGTATGAACTCCACGGAGGGGTATCTTTGCATTAGTTGCTCTTGAAGTTTTTGCAAGAACGACGGGTCAGCTTGGTATAACATTTGCGGTGATATTACTATGCCTTCTGAACCTGCGTTTACTATATCCTGGTGAGAAGGGAAACCCTGGAAAAGAAAATATAAGTGTTAGACATTTACCCTCCGTTTTCTTTTATGCATCATGGAGTTATCATGCTGATATGATGGTACCTGCATATTGAATTGTGGAGGAACAATTTGATGTGGTTGCACGACGGATGTCTGCGGCAGGGATACTGACAAACCATAATCGGAAGCGAACTGCAATGCTGCTGCATTGTTTGTAAACAAGTTCTGCACACCATTAGACGACGGCGACTGAAAAAAAAACATTATCAAACAAATACACTACACATTTTTTCTTTCTTTCTTTCAAATCTGTAACAAAATGAAAATTTCACATTTTCCACTGAAGGTAACTTACAGAAGGTTTAGAGAATCCAACGGGTATTTCAACTTTGGGTGACACCTGGTAGACTCCGGGCTCCAAGAATTTTTCTGTCACTTCATACGTAGGCCTGTGACCCTAGAAATTTATAAGCAACTTCAAGCAGATTCACTACTTTCGCAACTGAATAATAATCCAGTAATATAACGATGCCATATTTCATAGTCAGTTGATAAAATCGTTGTTCAACTTACGTCCTGTGACGATTTGAGAAGGTTATCCGAGTCGACCACCACGATTGGCTTCTCCGAGAGGCTCAGGTTCGGAGCTGGGATGGTGTGGATGGCACCTGTCGGTCACACAACGCTAAACCGACCATCGTCCGTCCACAGAAATATTTGAAGCTCACGCAAACTTGACCAGAATACCGCAAAGTAGTTTTATGCTCTATACTGCTTAAAAATTCTATAACTATGTTAAAAATAGTTTATTTTTGTTTGTTTGCGTGAGCTATAAAGCCTCGTCCGATTAGGACACAAGTCAGTCGACTCTCTTATAACTGGCATATTTTTGTCTTTTCGTACTTTCATACAACTTAAACTTGTGCCAAAACTATTTTGTGATAATGCGCCCTAATACGAATGAGGCTTTAGATGTCAAACATTTTGTAAATGGCACCTTTCATATTTCTGTGAACGGGCATCTAATTTTCTTGGTGCAATTAGTGCACGAAGTGAAACATTGTAGAAAGCATAGCGTTGCTACCAATAATGCTTACATTAGATTCCATTTGTAAAGAGTGAATAGCAGATACAAAAAAATCTTAATTACATGTAAATTATAAAATGCTTTCGTTGTGTTTTATGAAAATAATAATCTAAAAGAAATAAAGTAACGCAAGTTATGATAGAAAAAATAAATGAATTATGCGTGAAAACAAAAATAATACAGCTGCTGCACGTAAATAAAAGTATGTGTCAGTTAAATCTTTGTTAAAGATTAATTTGTGGATAATGTGAGGATACTAAAATGTTATTGCAGAAAGAAGCAGCATTAATCCTGCCACCATGGAAGCCAATGCAATAGACGCAATGTGATTCCATCTTATGCGATTGTATAGAATATACAGTAAAATAGGACCACCACCACTCTTCCCTTGGAAGGCTTTTCTTTTTATGCCAGACAAGGCAGGTATTTGACCGCAATCGCACTTGGTGTTAAGTGAGATGCAGTCTAGGATGGTACATTTAACTGCCCTGTAAAACTGTGCCCTGTAACTGCCTTGTTGTCATAAAAGGCGACTAAGTAAGGGAGAATAATAATAATTATGCAAGGCAGTGGTAAATTGGAGAGGGTTTTGTTCCTGCAGTTGAGGCAGATGATCACCCGGACCTTTATCAAAACCTGTCTAGGAAAAGGATATGTGGTATGGTAGGTAATGTTACCAAACACCAGTCTAGAAGTTATTATTAAGCTGATGCTGATATGGTGTATAAATAAAAGAGTGCGTGAGTGCGTGTGCGCAATTCAACCTGTACCACCATCGTGCACCGCCGACGGCGAGGAGGCGGCTCGGACGAACTCGTATTCCGGCGTGGAGGGAGATAGCGGCGGGAGGCGGGCTGTGGTCTTCCAGCCGTGGCTGAAGACAGTGCGAGTCGGGCCTGGGGCGAAGTGCTTCATTGCGTATCTGTGGGGTGAAGGAGAGGTTATTGCCTGGTCTACTCTTTGCTCTGCTATGGTCGATTGCTGAGAGATTTTATTTGTCGCCTAGATCAGAAGATCAGATGGTAAGTCTTGTTGACTGGGAAACCGAAATCACTTTGAATGAGACGGCAAGCAATGACTGTATGGTAATATACATCCTTTGTCATTGATAACCAGCACAGATGTTGAGTGAAAGAAAGAGCATGCCGAGATTAATGAAGGCATAACATTTTTGAAAACTTAATTGGTGATGGGCATGTTTTTCTTGTTCTTCTTTTTAACACTAGAAAGGCCGCCGTCCCATTTTTGTCCCACTCGCGAGTTTGATCAGCTCTAACTTTTTTATTTTTCAACGAAAGTCCATGAAACTTTTTGACTTTTTCTGATTTATTGATTTTTATCATTTTTTAATGTTTTTGATAATAAAACATTAATAGAAAAATTTTTAAAATCGGTTTTACCTAGAAGCGCCACTGGGTCAATTTTGTCCCACCCTGGTATTTGCCACAATAATTCGATGAAGAGTCCTTTTTTCGAGGAGATACGAAAGTAGAGAGGTGAGGAGAGTTTAGGTGACTCGTGACAATTCAGAAATGTAAATACAGGGTGTTGATTNCACGTGTAAATTAAAATATTTAGTGTGAACAACTGAGTTGCGAGACTTGGTTTTTTTGACAAGTATTGTTTTTGATGGGATCTATTGTACTCTGTAAATCATTAATAAAATAATTTATAATTTAGCAAAGTCGTAGGTATTATTTTATGCTTTTGTTTAATGGCATCAACAGTTCCGGTGTTAATTTCCTTTCCTCTCTTCTTCAGTCATTGGATTTGCTAAAATCATAGACATTTACCCAAGTAAAATGAAATAACATCAACAAAATTGCAATGTAGAGTTTTTAACATAAATCTTTCATTTTGACAAAGAGTAGGAGGTAGTAACTATCCACGCTGTAATTTTAGTTATTGAATTAATACGATAAATTACTGAATTAATGGCTGTTAAAATGGTATCTGATTAAAATAATAGTACTTTTAAACGAGGTGCGGGACACCCAACGACATCTGTCGACAACATAAGACAGCTTGTTCGTGTCGGCACTTGGTAGAGTCGTGGTTGGCGGTTGCGCTACTCTGGCTAGTTTGGCGCTGTTGGTGAAGTTACTATTCACGCCAGTAGAGGGCACTAACTAAGATACTGAATTTAAGATAGATGGAGATTATGCCCTACTTACCCTAGCCATTACTACCCTTAACTTACCTGAAATTACAAATAGGAAAATAAATTTTATTATAAAAAAAGAAAATTATGGAAATGAAATAATATGTTTTCAATTCTTTTTCTACTAATGAATATTAACTTGAAAAAATCGGACTGCCTGAGGCGAGAGAGAGAATTGAGAAGCGACTCTTATTAGAGTCGAATTTAGCTAAGAAATTTTGATAACGAATGAACATTATTTAATTTTAACTACAAAATAAAAGTACCTATTTTACTATCTAATCTTTGTTACTTAGGTACCTACTCTCACAATGTGATATGGAAACGGAAAACAAACAAATAAATTAATTAGGTAGATTTAGGCACTAAAATGTAAGTGAAAGGCCATAATTCAAGGCCTAAATTACAAGAAATGAATAGTGAAGGAAAAATATGTTTTTGCTCCAAAAGGTCAAAGGCTTGTCATATATCCAGATTATCCAAGTTCCCCAAGATTTACGGCATCATTTGGAAACACGTTACCAAATTGCTCCCAGCCTTCGCGCGCTTACTGAACAAAGTGTGTAGTGTGAGTTTACGTCAAACGCGTTTGAAATCGACTGCGTAAAAAAGTGACATTAAATGTGGTTTGAACTTTCAAGAACTAAAATCTTAAAATATTTTTTAACACAGTCAATATCTAATGCGTTTGATGTAAACTCACACTACGCCCCAGTTAAGTATACTCACGCAAGCCGTAGTGATATATTGTATTTAAGTTGTAGGTTTTGAATATAGGTCTGCAACAAAAAGACTTAAACGAGCGAGTGATTTCCTTCAACCCCAGGATAATTATAAGCATCCCTATTTTTCCTGGTTCTCAAACTATCTCCTAATTTAAATAAGCATGTATAAGAAAAAGGTAGACAGAAACACAGGTCAAAAATACTTTCGTATTTGTAATACGAATGTTAAAACTTAGTATAGAGCAATTGCTTAAAAATATTTATTGTATCTGTAATTGAAACTAGCAGATGTTTTTCCTTCCTGAAGGTTTATTAGAAGTATTAGAACTAGAAGATAGGCTAGTCATATTTTACCAGGAAAATCGCTGAAATTGCAAACGAACTAGTTCTGATTTTTTAAATATTTTATTAAGACCACTGTCATACATCCATGTTTGCAGCTTTAAAAGATCTGTGCACGCTGGGCGAGCACGCACGTGAAAAACTGCGGAATTTTGGGTCTATTTTTCACTTTTTGTACTTTTTAAAATCCACTAAAGTGGTCCTTACACTATGCGCTCTCTGTCCTTCGTTTCGTCTCGTCTGTATTAGGCGACTTATCACATTTGTAGGTGGTATCATAATGTTTATAGTCCTCTGTTTCCCGGAAACAATTATCAGGCTGATTAGGAGATTTTCCCAGAAATTCCCCGAAAATGGTTTGTTACTATGTCCATTGTCCGTGAGACCGGTTCGTTATACATCTCAGCATGTGGGCCACATTCGCAACGAGGTCGGCCGACATCACCCAGAAATATTCAATACATATCATTGCTTCCCATAAAATCCTTTTTTCGTTATGTAATAAATACCTNACAGGCGTCAATATTTTTTAGTGACGTAAATCGAAGCTTCAGTTTTTATCAAACTTGACCCTAAGACTTTTAAACAGTTTTTCACTCAGCTAAAACTTGATTTTGCTTTTTTTGCTACTTATAATAAGTATCCTAATACCTATTCAAATGGGAATCACAAAATCAATGCGATTTTGTGATTCCCGGACTTAAATGAGTGATGATTTCAGGACTTAAGTGTCCGACTTGGGAATGAATACCATAACCGTGTCGAGAAGAAAGAAGGTTCAGCTTTCAAACCGCACAAAATATCCGCCAGATACCGATGGCCTATAAACTGAACTGTTGGCTGACTCGTGCGTACGTAAGCGACAGTTGCGTTGGTGCTGGGGCGGTGACCTGGTATTGAGGAGCGCCCGTAAGAAACAAATTTATTTTTTCATTACCCCCTCCACTCCTCCGCGCGTGTCTTGGAAACAGCTGAATGTCTCGGAAAATACGAGTTCATAGTACAAGTCCTATTGTGTTTAAATATCTGTCTCCGTCCTCATAAAAGACGCCACTGTAAAGGTTCTATTCTTAGATATTGGTGAAGCTATAAAAATTCTGTGATGCCTATAATCAATTGCGTATACCTACCATTTATTTGACTTTCGCGATTTGCAAACCTGTTCGTTTCAATTTGCAGTAATAATTATTCATTTCTAGCTTTTGCCCACAGCCCGCCCGCCTGAAATTTGACTTGTCACTGATCGTTAAATAAATTATAGCCTTATGTTATTCTACTGTTTAAATAATACTTATTTTTTAAATTTTTATTAAAGGAGCTCAATCAACATTAGGCGACCATGTCGCTCCGTATAGCCACATTTTAGTTATATGAATGAGTTTGAGCAAAGGAAGGCAGAGCATTATACAAACTGGTCAGAGTGGGTTTGAAACGAAGGTAACTCTGCTCAAACTCATTCATATAACTAAAATTTTTAAATATTACTTAAAACTTACTGTAAAGTTTCATGAAAATAAAACTTACAGTTTAAAAAGCTCACGACGTAAAAGCCTCATCTCGTAAAAATGTAAAAATTACTTGAATCTTATTTTGTGTTTATTTATTACATAAGCACTAGAATACTTTGGAAATTTATCGACGCATTACTCTGTTGATAATTTTTAGGTTACCTAAGTACCTACATTATTAATTCGGTTTACGCTTAAGGTTACAAAACTTACTGATTATCTGCACACCTTGGAAAGCTTTCGGCCTACACCTATTAAACACAATGTTAAAAGCGCCATCGTGGAACCTCCAAAAACATCTAACCGTGCCTCTCCCCCGCAGTGCCTTGCCCAAGTCAAGAAAGAATCGGAGTCGAGCAAGCTGAAGGTCTGCGCGAGCGGCGCGCGAGGCGACTCCCTGCTCGCGATCTACGGGGACGAATCCGACACCGTCCAGAAACCGCTGGGATTCGTGCCTTATTGTCATCGATGAGGTAAGTCGAAGTCTTAAGCAAGGGTTCGCACTAGTCTAGTAATTAAGTAGAGTAACTCGCCTTTAGTAACTAAACTACTCGCTATTAACAAAAACCGTTTTTAATTATGGCTCGACAGACGATTTAGTACTAGACAAAATTTTTGGTGTGTTCGGACACGTTTAGCGATTTGTAGAAAGTAGGATAGTATAAAAGAGAAGATTAGTACTTATTTAAGTTTTCAATCTACACTGAAGGTAGGATATTGTAGGTAGATACACTTTATTTGATTGAAATGCGAACATGCTAAGCGCTTGGAGAACAATGACTAGCAGGTACATACCTGCGTTACAAATACATAAATCCTGATCAAAACAAGTTGATAAACACATAAAAGTGCCGTAAAATATTCGCGCACGGAACGTGTCGCGGCACAGTCGGCGCGAATCACTTATCTGCGCGAGTTACAGTCGTAGGGCTTTATGTCGATAATATTCCTATTTTTATGGTCATAAACTTTACGACGAATATAAAAAGAGTTCAATTTTAATGGTTCAGTTTTCTACCACTTTTATTTTATTACTATTTTTTACAAAACGTAAACAGGAAAAATATATCACAGCATAGCCCAAGCAAAAGTAGGCTGCACATAGACACTGCTGTTACTGTGCTGTTTTGGAATAATGATGACTATGTAAACCTAAACCAACTTGTTTAATTAAAATTTGTATTTATTTCGTATTAAACTAGATCCTAGTTTAAAAGATGCATGCTTTTAATCAATTAAAGATTTTAAGAAGCTTAAACATAAACACTTAATTTTCCTGAATGAGTTTTAAAAAATCAGATAGCCGAACATTCATCTATTCAGGCCGTCTCAGCGGAAGCCGCTAAAGGCGCTTTAAAATAGCTGAAAAGCTGCTAATTAAATATATTTCGCTCACCGCAGCCTTAAGTAATTTGTGGACCTCCACCCGCGGTAAGGCCCAGTGCACACACTGAACTTAATACTAGTCAGTGGCGTAGCGTGGCTTTTCGCCGCCCGGGGCCATCCGGAAATCCGCCGCCCTTTATTTTAATTATAAATATTTTAAAGTTTAAATATTATATTGAATGGACTTCAGGTACACTATTCACCTTATTTGTTGAAAGTCAAAATAAACTACCACGCACTACTTCAAATCAAATCAAATTTTTGATTTGATTTATTTGNCATGTCTGAAACTAAAAAATGTTACAAAATACATGCTGGGACAAAATTGACCCAGCGGCGCTTTTAGGGGGGTCGTAATCTTCGGCACTTCTAGTGTTAATCCTTTTATGATTTCTCTGGAAATATTCGATTCTTCTCACTTCTCAGTCAATTTAATTTTATAGGTACTCAGCACTGAGTACTGTTTTTATATCAAGTTAGCAGTGGTCCTTATTAGACTCATCTACAGTTCTTACTTCTCAGTGAATTTGAAGTAAATACTTATTAAGCACGGAATGATGTTCCCATATCTAGCTAGCTAACATCATTAGTTGTGGTTCTCACCTTTGGGGAGCATTCCTATACACCACATAAGGCACTCGGTGCGACGCAGCCGGCATCAGACGCTGGTGCGTCCAGGGTCTTTGAAAAGTCACCCCCGGCCTGAAGGCTGTTGGCACTCGGAGCCTGTTCACTGTGGCCATCCGACTGTAGTACGCCGCTTGCGTCAGCGAGCATAGCGTGAGGTAGATTAACTGGAACTATAGAAAAATACGTTAAATTATTTTATTTTTTACATCAAAAGGCAGATAAGTATTTGAGGTGCAGTCTTGAGGCCGATAAGCCAGGTGCCCTGGATGGTACCTAAATCCTATTCTTTTCCGCCTTGACGAAGCCCGGATTAAAGACACCGGGAAACGGGTCTGAGTTTTGGCTTGACACTACTTTCTGGGACACTCTGTATAAGCAGACAGTGAATTCCAGTCCCTAGTTTCAGTTCCTAGTTTTTTGCATTTAAAAGAGTTAGCGAAAAGTAAAGTCTACAATGTAGGGATGATATACGCTAACCTGCTTCGGGTTCCCCATTTATGGAAGAGGGCTGGTGGAATTGAATCAAGTTACCTGCGTTATACGCAGTTTTACAATGGGGTACCGCAAACGAATCTCGAAAAATAAGCATGGAGCCATCCAAAAAACAAGTGACAATAAGGTAATTATAATAATTAAATCTCCAATAGCCGAAACGTGTAGGAAGGTAAGAAGTGTCATTATCACTGACATTTTAAGTTATCCCACTTTTTCTTTACTTTCACAGTTCCTTTTTAAAATGCAGCAACGAGCGAGTCTCAATTCGATAAGGCAAGTAATAGTCGCCAAGTCAATTAAAATATTTATTATTTACTTTACTTGCAAATTGAGCTTTTCCCTTTCAAGCTTACAACAGACATAATTTTCACAGCTTTCCTCTTTGAGTCTGTAGAAATAATTAAGAAGTGTGTGAATTATTTCTGAGAGTTAAATTTTATTAATAATAATGTTGTCCTGTCCTTAATTACCATAAAATTAAATAAATTACTTCAATATATTATAGAATAACAAATATTGTGACGACTTATTCTATGGAAACGATAAATATCTTTATAATATCATTTACTCTACGTGTAGGTTTCTTACAAACACCTTGTGCGTTTTATTTCGCCTATTCCACGCCCTGAACAAAAGTACTAGATCAATAAATGCTAGGTTCCAGCGTAATGGTGATCATTGCTAAAAGTGTTGCAGACTTGATAAACCGGTCCATGAGAAAACGCTTCACAGTAAACACTCCCATGGGCGTAGTGGCACCATGAAGAGTGAAAAATTCAGGATAGAATAGAATGTTTGAAGTTTTGCTTGACCCTGGAAGCCAGCAGCAGTGACATACGAGAGTGAAAAACAGTTCTACCTACTATAAACCTTCATTATTTTTTGGATCTAGATATTGGAAAGACTGTAGCTAGTCGCCGTCGTCAGTCAATGTTGCTTGTAGTTTTTGTCATTGAAATCCCTATAATACATCTAATTGTAATAATTGAATATCATAAACAAATAATGTAAATGTTAATTGCCGTTATTTATTTGCCAAAACTTTGATTTCAAATGTGCATATTTGCTCAAAATGCTGACCTCTTTAACAGATGGAAATCGGAGACGTCCTGAAAACTCCTCGGCCTTGTGGACACCCTAGTCGTGGTATCTAATAGCTAATAGACACCATACAACTTAAAAGCCGTTCATTACAAGCCTGCAGAAAATTGTTAGGCATTATGCTCTAGATTTATTTTTGAACCGGATAAACGCAGTTTTTAGTCCAAAATTGTCATAAAAGTGTTTTTATCGGATCTTTGATTAAAGCTATACCACAGTGATCTAAATAATATTATTAAATTTTTAGCACTAAGTATGAAATAAGGTTACTTATCTTAACTAGGTGTAAAATATATTTTTTTTTACAACAGGCCAAAGATGGCCAAAAATAACGGCTATGAAGCCGTTATTAAAAAAATCTTGGTTGTTCGTCTTGCCTTTTAACTTGGAGGTGTCAGGGACCAAGGTATTCCATGAAAAAGTTTCATTATGCCCTTGCCCTTTGCGTGAACTTTCCACTCGTGCTAAACATTATGCCGCTCAAGATGTAGCCTTACAAAGGGATTAACTCTCTAAACTCCAGCCAGGTGAAACTATGTTAATACTAAAGTATCAACTCACTTCGCTCTTGATGTGTGGATAACATTCCGACCGATCATGCGAGGCCACCTCGGGCAGTGAAAGACGTCACGGACTGATGCGGGCGAAAACGTAAGGTAAAGGTAATTTTTATGTTCTGTTTCTTCTAAGTATTTTATCACACTGAATGCGGTCTGTGGTCGGCCCCCCTAGACAATGTCACATTTAAAGGCTGGTTTTAGTGTCACGCGGATTGTCAGTGCGGATCGCTCCGCACAGCCGATCTGAGTGTCACGCGGACTGTCAGTACGGACCCGCTCCGCACGGCCGGTCTGTATAAACTTCTAGGGAGCGTTTTAGAGTAATGCGGAGGGGTCCCTACGGCCGACCGTTCGCGCTGACAGCTCCGCAGCCATTCGCATATCGCGTCCGTGCCGCGGAGTTATCCGCGCGGACCACCGCTTGCGCGCTAAACGCTCCCTAGAAGTTCATACAGATCGGCCGTGCGGAGCGGGTCCGCACCGGACGGTCCGCGTGACACTAAAACCAGCCATAATGTCACGTAAAATACAAAGACACGGATCATAACGTGACATTTATGACGGAGTTCTATGTACCACGTCAAGCCGTGAGGCTTGACGTGGTCACAAGCAGACGGCGGCTCGCGGCGTCGTTGTAATGTCGAAAGATGGTTGAATGGAATTTTTTGGTATAGAGTTCGGTTACTGATTCGATTTTCGATTCAATTAAAAAGTGCCACTTTTCTAGACCTACAGGTAAAGTGACAATGTTTTTTACCTATACATGATGCGCTTTTATAAGGCGCTTGTATACGTCCCAGTTTTTCAGGAATATGATGTAAAGCAATGCTGAAAAGAGATATTCCTTAAAAAGTGCTTATTTACATAAAATATGTAGGTTACTTAACTCGTCAAAAATTTAAGAACGATTTCTTTTAAGTTTTTTCTAAAATGCTTCCTAAACATAAACTCTTCTAGCTGCATTTAACTCAGTCGCCATTATTTATTTTTTAAATAATTCCTTTAATTAAATCTTTACAGTTAGAAGCTCAGTAGATAAATTCCCTAATGAGGAACCGCTACAAAAACAACGTTGTAACTTAAGATTTTACATTTTCTAATTGCATCTCACTACTCGAGTTGATTAGTCACGAACTGTTTAGTACTAGTGCGATTATAAAATGATTATCATAGGTAATTGTAGTATTTTCTTTCTAACTCACTTGGAATCCGGCAGACAGTGGCAAATGCGATCTTTCTTTGAATAAACCCGCATGCGATAGGTGAACGTATCTTGGAAATGGGCTGTCATTTTTATCGATTGTGTAATAGTGGTAATAGCGATACGTTTAATATGTAAACTAGCTTCTGTCCACGGCTTTGCCGGTGTGGATTTTAATCGGTCGCAAAATGAGTTAAAAAAAAAAACAATTTTAATCAAATTCGCCACTCTTCCCGCGGCTAGTAATATGGAATGGAACCTTGGATCTCCAACCAAACTTTCCAATGGAGAAGTGACCTATCCTTTATCAAAAGTTTAAGAGAATTTTATCGATCTCTATTAAACCTCCCTCTAATTTAGTTAATGTACAATTTGACATGTAATGAATATTAAAAATAAATTTCTTATTCTTAATGTTTAAGATAATGCCAAATTTTCTTCAAGGAAATCTTTGTCGTGTTGGGTCTATCTCTTTCCACATTAAAATAACTTTAACATGATTTAAAGTGGGGATAAAGCAAATCAATTTGCTTTTGTATTTAAACAATAATTATCATTTTATACAACCATAGTCCATAGAATTTTTCATTGTCACGATAATCAGTTTTTCTTAGTTCACTGTAGTGTCTTTTGTCACACATTACAGCAGAGTTTAATCACCGTCTTTAAAAAAGTCTTTAATTGCTTTAGTATGATTGACGGCTTAATTCTTTTGTAGCTGATATCTATTTTTTAACTCTTTACAAATTGCTTTTTGTCGAGATTTTTCAGCAATCGTGTTTTTGTTTCTTACATCGATGTTATTGAGTAGTCAATTCATATGATTGATTGCGTTTATTTCTTTATTGTGATAGTTTTGAAAATACCTAGTGTAGAACATAATTTCAATGTATATCATCTCCATCGGTAAAAACCATACCTACCTAAATTAGTACCTAATACCAGTTTGATTGAAATGTAAAATTAAAACATTTTTCGTCGCGTTGAGACCCGTGTTTCTCTGTTCTGTAAAACATTTTTATCCACTTGTAGCTGTCATCTGTAGTTGCTGTTTACCTGCTGTTAACAGACTTGATACAAGTCAAGACAGTAACATAACACAGACACGGTAATAATGAATCATAGAAAGTGACACTTGCGAAAAGATTTCATCAAGTAAATAGCTAATGAGTAGTGATGTAGCAATCATCACCTGCCTGATCCAATCCAAGACAATTGTACATTAAATTACATGCATGAATGCACTCGCTCATAGTAAAGCGGTACCTATACTTAGTAGGTAGTATACAACGTGCTCCTTTTGTTTTCCGGAAATTTTAGGGGTATATTCTATAAATAAAAACTAGTTAAAGAGTCTTAGGAGTATGTGTTTCTAAAAGCATATTTTTGAAGATATTGTGGATTCTAGATTTAGAAGATACCTAGTTGATTTAGATTATAGTATAATCAATCTAGTTTTTTTTGTTAGCTAGTCTTTTTGTGCAGACTTTTTATTGATAAGTGTATGTAAATTATGAATTATTTCAGTAAAAAATATGTAGTACAGTTAAGTTTTTAAATAATTTCGTTTGAAAAAACAAGTCGAAAAAAATTGTTGAATTTAACAAAAAATGTAATGCCATTCCATTCTTTGAAGTGGTCTTATTAATACCCTAGAGTTCCAGAAAATCAAAAAGCGTTCGTATAAGCGTGCTTCTAAGTCGCAACTATTCCCACCTTTTATTCCCAGCTCTGCGATTGCTATTTGTATTTAGAGCATAGAGAAAAAATCTACAGTTTGACCGCCAATAAAAATCTAACTAGGCTAAGTTAC